CAAGCAGAGAGAGACAGTGAAATGCTGGGGGCTGTGAGCCTGGAAGAGGAGGAAGAAGGAGGGAGACGCCCAACTCACAGGGATTAAGGGTGTGGGCTTGCAGTAGCATTTGTAGGAGTTTGGGGCAGGGATAGGAGAGATGGAAGGGACTGAACTGAGCTGCCCGAACTCACTCACCCTGTCTCCACTGCCTGGCCCCATGCCCAGGAGTTTAATTTTTTACTTAGTCATTCACCAAATATTAGTTGAATACCTACTACGTGCCAGGGCCCATGAGGGTGACATCTAGCTTTTAGGAGCCCCTGGGATAATACCAGATAATGTGATTCGTGCTGGTTTTGAGGTTTGGGGAGCACCACATCAGTCTAGGGGAGACCAGGGAAGGGTTTCTTAGAGGAAAACTCACTAAGCTGAGATCTGAGGGTTGAGTCAGCAAATGGACAAAGAGAGGGATGGAAGAGTGCTCCAGGCAGGGGAACAGCATGTGCAAAGTCTCTGAAGTGGGGGTGTAGGAGACATAACCACAGAACTGAAGGCGGCCTGGTGTGGCTGGACAGGGAGGGTAGAGGGGCCAGTGAGGAGAGACGAACCAGCAGACAAAGGCAAGTCTGGATCAGAGAAGTTCTGTCAGCCATGTTAAGGAGCTTGGGCCATAGGGCTGTGGGTGGAATTTGAGCAAGGGGAAGAGGGAGATGCATTCAGATCTCTACTTCGGAGAGGTCATGCTGACTGCTGTGAGGAACTCGGCTGGGGTCACAAGGACAGGTGGGAAGCCAACCGGGAGGCATTCACAGCAGTCCTGGTTGGAGATGGTGACAAGAATGTGGGCTATTGATTAAGGCTAAGGAATTGGGACTCACCTCACCTCTGAACTCCCAAAATTCACCTAAACAGGTGACAGGGGCTTGAGAGGGTCACCAGTAGAGATCAGGCACACCCTGGTTCAAATCCTGGCCGTGGAGGTACTGCTGTGTGACCTTGGGCAAATGCTTAAGCTCTCTGAGTCATAAAATAAGGACTATTACCTATCTCACAGGAATAGTAATGGCTCAGAAGGCCTTCTACTCCTGAGGATTAAATGAGAAAATGCACATAAATTATGGTGCAAGGGCTCAACCCAGAGTAGCTGTAATCACTTCATTGAGAGGTTGTTAATCCTCCAGTGACGCAGGGCCTACATTGACCCGAGTCCTGGGGACCCAGTGAGCAAGACGCTGTCCCTACCCTATCACAGGCTAGCAGGAGAGATAGATTCTTGTAGGTATGGAAGAGAAGAATCAACCATGCCTGGTGCAGCTCCCAGGCCTGGGTGATGGCCAAGGATGCTTTGGGGGCGAGGAAGAGCTGTGGGTGTAGACAGGCAGTGGGAACAGCCCCTGGGATCCCCAACCCCAGCTGCCAGCCCCAGGAACACAGAGCAGGGTAATATGATCAGGCCTGGAAATCACTTGTTGGCACAGAGGGAATCAGAGACAGGGTGCATGTGCGCACATGTGCACGCTGGGGTGGGGAGTAGTTCCCTAAATAGCCCGATCACAGGGCTCGTAGTGCAGGGTTTGTGACAGCCACATGTGAGGGTCATGGGCTCCGTGCAGGAGGTGCCACCAAAGTTGAGAAAGGCATCTGGGGCCTGGCCTGGCCTCGGGCCATCCTGGGAAAGGGCAGGGGTGAAAATAACCCCAGACTGTCAGAAGCCACAGACTGGCATGGGCACCTGATGGGATCTGTTCACTGAAAACAACGCCTGTGTCTGACCTTTTCATATGCAGAGGAAGACCAGCCTAGGGGCATGTTATAAGAGTGAAAAACTGGAAACAGTCTAAATGCCCATCCCTAGAGGAGTGAGTGAAATGTGGTCTCTTTCAAGGACACAACAATTTAAAAGAAGTAACTAGATCTAGAAGCAATCCATGACCCGATCTCAAACATGTCCTGTAGAGTGAGAAAAGAAAGTTTAGAATAAGATGAAAGGGTGATAATATTTAGTCCATTTGAGCATTTGTATGTACTGGCATAAATATTCGTACATATCAGTAGAAAACTGGGTTGGAAAGACACACAGGAAATTCATAGGTGACCTCTGGGAAGCAGTGACACTGGAAGATAGTTGACACCTGGGAGATCTTAACACTCTCTTCCTCTCGATGACAAAATTATTTTCAACAATAATCCCGGAACAATAGTAATAGGTATTACTTTCACAGTCAGGTCTTCCATTTCAAACCAATCATTTTAAAAGAATAAATGTCTGTGTTAAAGATATATTCAAAGTCAGTAAAACAGAATGTGTATAAACTATGCATTTGTGCTTAACAAAAACCAAAAAATATACCTTTCAGCTCATGTTCCATTTTACCGTTTTAAGTTTCCAACACAGATCAGTTTTAAACACCACTCCCAGGGTGGCGAGGAATGACAGAATGAATTCAAGCATTGTTCCTTTGTGTCCATAATCACTACTGATTTTGAATTGACTGTTTAAACACAGGAGGATATATTATCCCAGAGGCTGACGACACAGACTGAACCCTCAGTGACTCTCAACACTCCCGAACTATTCTGAGCTTTCTAACTTTTGAAACCATCACGTGGGGCTGAGACTGCCTTTTTATAACTGAGAGGTTCTCTGAATTCGCCTCATTAGAATAATGAACTGTGTTCATTAAAGAATAAGTTATAAAAATGTAATAATGAAGCAACACCGATAAAACTGGAGGTCATTATGGTAAGTGAAATAAGCCAGGCACAGAAAGACAAATGCAGCATGTTCTCGCTCAAATGTAGAAGAAAAAAAAATGGATCCCAGCCGGGCACGGTGGCTCAAACATGTAATCCCAGCACTTTGGGAGACCGAGGAGAGACGATTGCCTGAGCCCAGGGGTTCGAGACTCACCTGGGCAACTTGACAATACTCTGTCTCTACAATAAATAAAAAATTAGCTGGGAGTAGTAGCATGTGCCTGTAGTTCCGGCTACTTGGAAGGCTGAGGTGGAAGGATCGCCGGAGCCCAGCAGGTCAACACTGGGGTGGCTGTGAGCATGTCACTGCACTCCAGCCTGGGTGATGGAATGAGACTGAGACTCTAACTCAAAAAAAAAGGGGGGAGGGGATCCCATGGGGGTAAAGAACAGAATAGTGATTACATGAGGCTAAAAATTGATATACCATATCTATACATTCAGTCATAGGGCGGCACATGGTATTCTGTCACATGCATAGACTGTGTAACGGTCAAGTTAGGGTATCTGGAATGTTCACCACCACTTCGAATACTTATCACTTCTGCATGTCGGGAGCATTCCAAGTCCTCTCCTGGAGCTATTTTGAAACCTACAATGATGCTCATTATTATCTCTAACCATCCTTTCCTGTTATGGAACACGAGGACTTGTTCCTTCTACCTGACTGTGTTCATGTGCCCATTTATCAGCCTCTCTTTGTCCACCGCTCCTGACACTTCTCAACCCGTCCAGCTGGCAGCCCGGGCCAGCCCCCGGGGTTCCTTTCCACAAGAGGCTCCTCCCCAGAACTCTCCTTCACTGTCACCCGACTCGCTCAGTCATGAGAATCATGGGTACACCTGTTAAACATACAGATTCCAGAGCCCTCCTAGAAAGACACACGCCGGACCGGGAGCCTGCGACGGGCAGACAGCCCAGGGGTGAGCAAACCGTGTCTCACTCCACTTTCTCCCGGAAGCCTCCTGTGCAGCCCAGGATCATGGGGACAGCCTGGGAGGCTGGGCCCCAGGACGCACCTGGGTGAGTTCTCACGGTCCAGAGCCCAAGCGGGGGAGGGTTCACTGAGGCCTGGGGGTCAGAACTGCTCAGTGCAAGGCTGTCAGGAGCCCCAGGAGGCCAGATCTCTCAGAAAGGATCTGGATCTCAGGATCTGTCAACTCGTGAGGAGGCAGAGGGGAAGAAGGAGGAGGAGCCTTGGAGGGGACTCAGCAGTCGAAGCCAGGTACGAGGCCTGGGCTGGGAAGAGCTTGGTCATTCTGCCCGGCAGAGAGGAGCTGACTGCCAAGACCGTGCAGCCCGCACCCTCAGTGAGACCCACCCTTTCAGTCCCAGGTCAGGTCTGGCTTTTGGCTAAGGAAAACGCCCATTTGGGGCACTGGATGGATTGAGGGCTTCTTCTGTGGGAGGCATGGAAAGGGGTGGGTTTGAATGAATGACAGAGAGGAATTGGAAAGGAATATTCCGAATGAGGCAGCAACCAAGAACAGGGCTTATCTGAGTCTGAGAGCAATCCAGACCGCCCTCATTTCCTGAGGCCCCAGTGTACGAAAAAATGAGGGAATTTCAAAACAGAGTTTTTAAAAGGCGCCGCTCTGTGTTTAACCTTCGCAATGCGCTTGTGAGACTTCACTGCACAGTCACTCCCAACAGTGCAGCACGAGGATGCTGGTCATCCTCAAGGAGAGGATGGGATTCGTCTCTAATGTTAATTCCTGGTGCATCACAGGCTGCGGGGTCTGGCATGGGGCAGATGCTAGAAGTTGTTTGATGAATATCAGCTGCTTGGGACCCTGCCACTGTATCTCGGAATGACCACACTGGGAGATCTTGTCAGGTGTCTGGGTCTGAGGCCCCTGCCCTTGGCAGAGGCAAGACCTGTGGGCGGGTCATGGGAAGACATGAGGGACTTCTGGCGGTAGGGAGGGGGCTGGGAGATATGACTGGATGAGGCAGGACACTGTGGAGCATGGAGGAGGCGTTTCACCAGCCCGAGAAAGCCAGGGAGGGCTTCCTGAAGGAGGAGTATCTAACCTAGGACATAAAGGATGAATAAGTATAAGCCAGGTGAGGGAAGGCAGGAAGGTTTCCAGGAGGAAAGAATAGCAGAAAATGGTCAGTGGATATCGGCACCTTGCTATGAAGGCTGTGGATGGAGAGGAAGGTAGGTAGATGCAGAGAAGGAAGGACTCTTAGGTGTTTTTAGGGGTTGGAACTTTATTTCCTAAAGTCAGTTCAGCCCGACTTCCTTTACTTGAAGATACTGTCAAGGTAGGTTTTTATTTTTATAAAAATTCAGACGTATTTTTTTGTAGACAAATTAGGAAATACAGGAAAGCTAAATGATCAGGGGTATTTGTCATCAGGAGGCTGAAGTAGCCCAAGGGCTGAGGAATATTGGGCAACCTGGGAGTATCTCCTTCCCTCCAGAGACGATAATGTTAACAATCATGGCTACTGTTGATTGAAAGTGAAATGGGTTGCCAGGCACTGTACTAAGCGCTTTATACATTTGTCTCCTTCAGAGCTGGATGAGTTCTCTATGGTTGCATAAACAAACTGTCACAAATTTAGTGACTTAGGACAATACACAGCTATGATCTCCCAGTTTCTGTGGACCAGGAATCCAGGCACATGTTCCCGTGCTCAGGGCCCCCTGAGGCTGCAATCAGGGTTTCAGCCAGGACTGGGGTCTCATCTGAAGGCTTGACTGGGGAAGGATCTGTTTCCAAGCGCTGGGTTGGTTGGCAGAAGTGAGTTCTTTGAAGGTTGATGGACTGAGGGTCTCAGTTCCTTGCCACATAGGAGTCAGCTCTACAGCTGTTGCCTTCCTCAAACCCTGCAAACAGAGAAGGTGAGAAAGAAGGTCTAACAGGATGGAGTTGCCATCTTTTTTTAACTTTTAAATTTTTTATTTTAAAATTGTGGGGTACAATTCAGGGTTAGGTATACAAATATTCATTATGCAGGTACCCTTGTTGATGAGGTGTGCCCCCCTTCCCCAGGCAGATTCCCACTATTGCCAATCCCACCTCCCCACCCCCCTGCAGTTTCCTGCTACTTTCAGAAACAAAATCATGAACTTTGCAGCAACCTGGATGGACTTAGAGTCTATAATACTGAGTGATCTTTCACAGAATTGTCATCTTTTATAACCTAATCACAGATATGGCAATCCATCACCTTTGCCAGAGTCTATTGATTAGAAGCAAGTCACTAGGCTAGCCCACACTTGAAGGAGAGGTGTGAATACCAGGAGGTGGGAACTATTGGAGGCCTCCTTAAAGCTTGTCCACCACAAATTCCCACACAGTCTCAAGGGGTCTCTGTCAATATCCCCACCGTGCAGATGAGAAAATTGAGTCACAGAGAAGTTGGAGGAGAAGTATCAGGATAACCTTTAATGTGCATCCAAATCTTATTCATTATCAACAGGGTCCAAAAAGCAGTTGAACAGACACTGGTTAGCACCTATAAGGTGCCAAGCACAATACTAGGTACTAGGAGGTACAGTAATTAAATCATGGTGCCCATATTCAAGGATCCACCCATGTAGTGAAAAAGACTAGCATCAAAGCTGTAAGTTTCAGCCAGGCATGGTGACTTATACCTGTAATCCAGGAACTTTGGGAAGCCAAGATGGGAAAAGTGCTTAAGCCCAGGAGTTCAAGATCAGCCTGGGTGAGACTTTGTCTCTACAAAAATAAAAATAAAAATATAGCTGGGCATGGTGGCACACACTCAGGAGACTGAGGCAAGAGGACCAGTTGAGTCCAGGAGATTAAGGCTACAATAAGCTGTGATCGTGCCACTGCACTCCAGCCTGGGCAACAGAGTAAGACAGACTCAAAAAAACAAAAACCACATGAGCTTCCATTCAGCTTGATAGATGATCAGTAGAAATATGCCCAAGTGCAAGATCTTATAAAGAAGGAAACAATACGTTTGAGCCTGTGGAACTGTGGAAGATCAAGGAAACCTTCCTAGAGGAGGTGGCACCTGAGTGAAGTTCTGAGCCCTTTTCTAACCAGATTAGAAGATGTGGCCTTGAAAGCATGGATGGCTTGCTCTGCTTAGAGGGGGGCACCAACATTTCTTCCCTCTTCCACTCCTTCCTTCATTCATGCAACATACATTTATCAAGCAGCTGCTCTGTGCCAGGCCCTGGGTGTGGTACTTTTAGATGTCACATGCCAGCAAATTCCCACCAGCAGACTTGTTGAGGAAGAAGTATGCAGAAGGTGCCTACTGTGTGCAGAGGGTTGCACTGAGTGCACCTCCCATCTGCATGGAGCTTGCACACTTGACGGCCTACAAGACAGGGGCTCTTGCAAAGTCTCTTCCAACCATAGGCGACATGTGGGACATGCCAAGCTCGGCAAAGAAAAGCCAGCATTTATGGAGTACCCACCGCTGTCTTCTTGGCCTCTCCACATCTCTGGAGCCTCCGACTGGCCTCTTCTTCCCACCTCCTCCACTCCCCAATTCAGAACTGTGTCTTCTGGCCAGCCATGTTCCAGCATGGAAGAGCAGGTTACATGTCATGGCCCCCTTGAGCGCTGTACCCGTCACCTTTGCCCATGTTACTCTGAGTACTGGGGGCTTTGACCCTCAACAGAGGGCATGTGATTGGCTGGCTAGATTTTTAGTGTTGGCCCCCATCACAAGTCCCAGGCTCATTCAAGATTTTGGCCAGCCTGACCTAGTCCCAACCATGAAACAGGAAATGAAACCCTGGCGAGGTGTGATGGCTCACACCTATAATCCCACACTTTAGGAGGCCAAGGTGGGAGGATTGCTTGAGGCCAGGAGTTTAAGACTGTCCTGGACAACACAGTGAGACTCTGTCTCTGCAAAAAAAAATTTTTAAATCAGCCAGGCATGGTGATGTACACCTGTAGTCCCAGCTACTCAGGAGACTGAGGCAGGAGGACTGCTTGAGCCCACAAGGTCGAAGCTGCAATGAGCTGGGATTGTGCCACTGCACTCCAGCCTGGGCGACAGAGTGAGACCCTTTCTCCAAAAACAGAAAAGAAAAGAAATTAAGCCCTCACCTTGGTCTTGTAAACAATAGGATTAGTCACTGCGTCAATCAGCCATGGGAAGCCACCCCAAGGTGAATGCAGTTCATTCATTCATTCATTCATTCCGTTTATACATGTTTGGTGCACACCTCCTCTGTGGCAGGCAAGATACTGTTCCCGTCCTTCTGGATCTAATTTTGGGGAAAATAGGGGGGGTGTAAGTCCATTAAACAGCAGGTGACGATCACGAGAGTGATGTTCTATATTAGAGGTGGTGTGGCCTGGCCTAACCCTGCCTGGTGTAAGTCTAGAGAAATTAACCCTTGTGTTCCTCCTCTAGAGTGAATAGAAGCTGAGCCAGAGGAGAAGAGGGTGAGGGAAGGCATTTCAGGCAGGGGGAACAGCATATACAAAGGCACAGAGGAGTAAAATGGAAATGTGTATTTGGGGCAGGGTGAAAAGGTCGCCGCATTCAAAGTTTTGGTGAAAGAGAGTGGCAGGGTTGGCATAAGGTAGGGTGGTGAGAAGAAGGAGGGGTGGAAAAGAGAAAGAGGCTCTGGTTTTTTCCAAGTTAGGGTCCTATAAAGTAAGGCTTACCTTGATGGTCTCACCATTTCCACAGCATGCTTCCATCCCCTCACCCCAATTAGCCAATTGTCACATATAAGCAGCTTTCAGATGGACACGTTCTATTTGGATGGCAGTGTTTTGTCCCGTTGAGTTTTCTTTTGGAGGTTAGCTGTCAAGATTTATAAATCAGAGTCTGGGCACCGTGGCTTATGCCTGCAATCCCAGCGCTTTGGGAGGCCGAGACGGGAAGACTCCTTGAGGCCTGGAGTTCAAGACCAGCCTGGGCAACACAACAAGCCCTTGTCTCTACAAAAAAATTTTAAAGCTTAGCCAGGTGTGGTGGCACATGCCTGTAGTCCTGCCTACTTGGGAGGCTGAGGCAAGACAATCACCTGAGTTCAGGAATTCAAGGCTGCAGTGAGCTATGATTGCGCCACTGTACTCCAGCCTGGGTGACAGAATGACATCCTATCTCAAAAAAAAAAAAAACCAATCAGGAGATTTCACATTTAAAAAAATAATCTAGATTTCCAGATTCTTGTGAAAAATCAAATAATCTGGCAACACATGTCTACACGTGGGGACAATTGGTCAAAGTTGTGGCAGTAATGGTTGCCTCCGTAGAGAGGGCCATGGACTCTCCGGTTCAGTCTAGACCCTCAGCCCCCATCCTGATTTATTTACCCCCAAGCCTATCCCTCAGAGGCATTCAGGTCTGGGGTCTCTGCCTTGGGGCCTCCATGTCAGGGTTCCAACATGCCCCACAAGTCACCTTATTCTAACTACATCTAGAATCACCCTGGGTCCTAACCCTGGGGACTGGCAGAGCCAGGCTCCACCACCAGTTACAACCCCCACCCCCCCCTCACCCCCACCTAGAGGAGCTGAACTGGCCAAGACTGGGTCAAGGCAGCTCTCATTGGGCCAGACAGAAAGAGGCATGGGAAGAAGGGGCGGGAGGGAAGGCTGGGACCCCAGCAACCCTGGCCCCCCCTTCTGTGCCTCATCCGAGACATACCCAGCTCCCACCTCCTCATCTGTATCTCTCTTCATCTTTCTCATAGTCTAGATAGCCAGAATTCAGTGCCAAGAAGAGCTGAGTCCAAATCATGCTCTGACACTCCACTGAGGTGTGACTTGCGCGGTCACCTCCCCTTACGTCCATTTGTAAACAGGAACAACGTCTATTGGCTCAGCGGATTATCATAGACATGAGCTGGCATCCTATGCATCAAGTGCAGGCATGGGACTGGCACTTAGTTCACAAAAGAGGATGCATGTGTGTTACGGTTTATTCAACCTAACTCTTCTGCCAGAGGTCTGTAGGGGACCTTGGTCATTACCCGGTGCCCATCCACTGGGATTTCTGTGAGCATCTGTAGGGGCGCTGTCATTACCCTGTGCCCATCCCCTGGGATTTCTCCAAGCATCTTTAGGTGGCACTGTCCCTACCTGTCCACATCCACTAAAATGTCTTCGCCATGTCTGCACACCCAGCTCCAGGAGAGCTGTCACTTCCCACAGCAGGCACCAGTATCTCCGTGTCAGCGAACTGTCCTCAGACTTTGACTGAGAGAGATCCCGAGTTCCTGCAAATTTACTTTCTCCCAGGGCAGCGACCTCTAACCAGTGACTGAGGGGTGCAGCTCCCTCCCCACTACTGGGGACAGCTCTGGGGTTTTGTCTACACTGCCTACAGTCTTTCCCTCCAGTACCGAGCCTCCAGGGGACTTTGCAGATACGGCATCCTTGTTGACCCTCTTCCCTTCGTGGTTCTGCTCCCCCTCCTCGCCTTCCCCACCGTGTTTCCTGAGGATATTTCTCAGTAAATCACGCCACGTGAATCCTCATCTCTGAGTCTGCCCCAGGGGAAGCCGACCAAAGACAGTATCCCTTTTCATCTCAACCCTCAAAACTCCCCTCCCTCCTACTCAAGTTCCCCTTCTTCCTCATCTTCCCCCTGTCTCTCCCCCCTCCGGTCTGCCTTCCCCTCCAGGCTGGCTTACTCGTGGCCTCCACCACCGATGTGGAAACAGATGGCATCATCCGGGTGAGAGAGCTCCCTTTGCGGTGATTTATGATCCTTGATTGGGCAGTGTTATTTTTAGCTGTCTCTCTCCACCTTCGGCTGTCCTCAGCCATGGAGGAAGATCTGCCCTGTTTCTTGGGCATCTGAATGTGGCTCTGGTAGTGGTTTTTAACCAGAGACAGTTGTGTCCTCCTGCAAGGGACATCTGGCAATGTC